GAGAATGTGGTCAATGGTTTCTTCATATTGGCTGCACATTCTACACATGGGGTCTATTCCATCTTTCATGATCTTGTGGTGGTATGATCTCGTTGACAGGCTCTGGTCTTGTGCTGCTATCAACAATCCTTCAGTTTCTGCCTTCAGTCCTGCACTGCGTAGCCACTGATGAGTATGGTCTTGTTCTATGTCTGGTTTTTTTTTTTTTTTTTTTTACTCTCAAGGGGTATTGTCCATGCATTGGTTTTTCCTCCCATGTTTCTCTCACCCTCTTTTGGGCCCATTTCTTTGCCTCCCTCTTGGCAAAGTTTGTTACTGTTTCTTTCTCTTTTCTTGCCACATCCGGGATGTTTAGTTCCTGTGCATATCTTATGGCTTCTTTTGTAACAGAGTACAGCTTCTTGCAAGCTTCATGTTGACAAAGGAGGATCAGTAGGGCATCGTCTGTTGTTTCAAGGTAGGTTTTCAATGCCATTGTTGTTGTTTTGTAAGCCATCTCAAGTTGGGTAAGTCCTCTGCCTCCAGTCTGTCTTGGTAGATAAATTCTTTCAACATCTGCTTTTGGGTGGTGCATTCTTTCAGAAGTCAGCGATTCTCTGGTCTTAGTGTCTAGTTTCTTTACTTCTTTAAGTTGCCAGTTGATGATATTAAAACTGTATGTAACCGTTGGAACAGCTAAAATGTTGATGGCTTTGATCTTATTTCCAGCATTAATGATTTTATTTGCAGCATTTTAATGATTTATGTGTATTCTCATATTCTTCATGTATGACTTTGAGATGTTTAAGCCAGAAGTTATGTACTTTGTCTTCTCCAGGTGACTTCCAATTATTTACTTTCTTTAGTGCCAGTATTACTTCTGTCTTGCTGATGTTTGCCCACTCCTGTACTGGTCGGCTCTTCAATCTTTCTGCTTCTTCTTTGATCCATTGTGCTGCCTCTTTGTGGTTTTTCTCTTTTTCCCAAACATTGCTCCATAACTCCTCTACTTTTTCCAGAGATGGTAGTTCTTTGATTTCTATCTGTTTCTTGCCAAGTTCTCTGTAGAACTTCTTTGGGTCAACTTTGAAAACATGGTTGTGTCTGAAGTGTTTACTTCTCTTTTCATATCTTCTGATTCTTTGTGCCTTGGCCTGTATCTGTTGTTTGAGCTTTTCTTTTGCTTCCACAATGTCAGTTGTGTCCTGGATGCTATACCTCCTCTTCATTTGCCTCTCTTTTCTTTTATTAGTAATGGTACCTTCTTCAATCTCTGTGAGCAGAGAGAGATCTTTTCTCTTCTTGAGAATGTCCTTCTCGATGTCTGTCTTCCATTTGGGCTGTTTTCTTTTTCTTTGTTTTTTATTTTCTCAGTGCAACTCAGGTCTGTGATTACTGCCGCTGCTGCGTAACATATTTCATTAAGTGATGTGAGGTCCATTGGTTTAGAGTAGTCTTGTTTGATGTCTTGTATTGCTCTGTTGGCTAGGCTGATGAGGTTCTTGATATTGTTGTTGCTATATGTCTTAGGCAGCTTGTCTCGATTCTCCAGCCCTTGGAGTTTTGCGTCCATCCATTTCTGGAGTATGCTGTCTCTGACTTTTTCAAAGTCTGTGTGTTCTACATATGTTCTGTTGGTACCCTCTTCAGTCACTCCATCTACTTCTTGCTGTTGATGTTGGTCTTCTTCATTCCTGTTTGTATCTTCTTCCGGCACTCACAGAGTACAGACACTTCTGCTTTTGCTCCCTTATCTTTTTTTCCCAAGGCTCTTTGTCCTGTCTGCCTACAGAGCGCTTCTCTGCATTTCTTCTGGAAATCTCAATTTTTCAGAAATGGATTTAATTAATTGGTCATTCAACGCGATTGATAAGATTTTTTCTACGATGAGAACGGAGGAGGGGGCTCCCACTTCCCCTCAAGGGACACACGCAGCGGGATATGCGCTCAATTCCTGGAAGGTGTGGAGGATCGTTTGTCTCTCTCAGCTGTTCATTGAGGACATCGAAGATATGTAGATATTTGGCCTGATGATCACTGGATTTCTTCTGATTGGAGTGGGAGGATATCTGGTTTTCTGGAAATTTGGGAAGACGGGAGCGATTGGAGGGCGACCCGCACCCACGGGAAGCACCGCCCGGGCGGAGACCTCACAGACTGGGACGTTACTCGAGGTGAATCGTAAGCTGGACAATGTCTTAGTTGCGTAACAGTTGTTAGTGCGCAAAATGGATGTCATCTCGGAGAGGGTCACCAGACGGTGTGGAGATGTTTGAAACATATATTGGCTTCCCTGAAGGACTGGAATGATCAGTTACAGACTGAAGGCAGAGAGGACCTGACCCAAACAAAGTCTTGTTATCCAATCTGACGCCAAGGCAGCCTTGAGCTGCTAACAACAACCCCCACGAAGGAAGGAATGCAGACAGATGCTGTGAAAACCCGACCTACCCCCCACACCCCACCTTCAGATTGAGGACTTCTGCCTAGCGAGGTCACCAACCTGCAGGAAATCAATGTGCTCTGCGCTCCCCCTAAGATCTCCCTCCCACCTGTGGACACAGTTGGCTGAGCGCCACACAGGGCTGCTCCAGCTGGGGATACAGGATCCCAGCCCCCCCCCCCCCCCCCTCCCTATTGGAGTCTCATGTTATGTTGAACTGTTGATGTTCTTGCTTACATGTGCGAGGTGTTTTTTTGTATTGCAAAGCTACGCCCTGCCGGGAGTAACTCTGGAATGCCTTTTTTTCCCTCTCCCAACTTATCCTCATGTAATCCTCTTTCATCTAAATGAAATGCTAGCGGCGCGTGTACACGCAGCGGCTTCTCTCTATCTTCCATACTCTAGTGAGAGTTTGAGAGTAACATAATTTCATTTCTCTGTATAATAATAATACATTTTATTTCAACAGCGCCTTTCTGAACACTCAAGGACACTTTACAGAGATAAAATACACAACAATAAAAGATAAAACAGCATAAAACAAACAGACAGATTGGAGCAACGAGAGTAATTATTGGAATGCTAGACGGAACAGGTGAGTTTTGAGTCTGGTTTTAAAGAGAGTGAGGGAATCAATGTTACGGAGGTCAGGAAGAAGTGAGTTCCAGAGCTGGGGAGCAGAGCGGCTGAAGACCCTGCTCCCCATAGTGACCAGACGGAAAGGTGGGACTGAGAGGTGGATGGAGGAGGAGGACCTGAGGGAACGGGTGGAGGTTGAAGGATGAAGGAGGTCTGAGAGGTACGGTGGAGCTAGGTTATGGATGGCTTTGAATGTAAATAGCAGAATTTTGAATTGGATTCTGGAAGTGACTGGGAGCCAGTGGAGCTGCTGAAGAACAGGGGTGATGTGGTGGAAGGAGGGAGTTCTGGAAATGATACGGGCTGCAGAGTTCTGGAGAAGTTGGAGTTTATGGAGGGATTTGTGAGGAAGACCGAAGAGAAGAGCGTTGCAGTAGTCAATACGGGAAGTGATGAGGCTGTGGACAAAAATGGCGACCGAGTGAGTAGTGAGGGAGGGGCGTAGGCGGTTAATGTTACGTAGATGGAAGTAGGCAGACCGGGTAATATTGTTTATGTGGGACTGGAAGGATAGTGAGGAGTCGAGGATGACACCCAGACTCTTGACCTGAGGGGAGGGGGAAACTAAGGAGTTGTCGACGGGAAGTGTAAAGCTGTGGATTTTGGATAGTATGTCTTGCACATGTGGTAGAATTGACAATAAAACTGACTTTGACTTTGATCTTCCTGTTCTTCATGTCTGCCGTCTTCCACTGTGTTTTCATTTTCTTCTACTGTATGTCTGACCTTTCTCCTAATGGCTTCCACCTCTGCATCTGTAAGTCTTTTCAGTTTGATGATGTCGCTTCTTAAATTGGACAGTTTATTGGTGTCCATGTTGGGTCTTGATGTGGAGTTTGTATTTCTCCATAGAGTAAAGGTTTGTTTAGTGTTGCTCTCTCCTGATGGTTTTAGTTGAGCTGTGATGTACGCTTCCATAACTCGTTTATACTCCTCCCTAGTCCATTTCTTCCTTTTAGTTTCATTTTCATTTGTGGTAAGTTTTACATCATGGGCGGCTGGTTGAAGGATCACTTCAGATAGCTGGTCCACAGATGCCTGGGTGTGGGTGGAGTTTGTTCCAGTAGCACACTTTTCGCCATCAGCCCCCTGCAGAATGACGTGCTCCTTGTTGACCCGCGCAACGGGTGATGCAGTATGGTTTTCTGATTGTTTGACTCATCATAGTGAAATGCTGTCGGAGCCCTATTAGCCGAGACATGACTGGCTTGTCATGCCTACGTTGCCCATCCTGCACCACATGGAGGTGGGGGTTGAACTTTTGCAGGACTTATTATTATTATTATTATTATTATTATTATTATTATTATGAAAATCTTGAAAATATTGTTCTGCCTCCAATAACAAACATAATTTTGTTTGCATTTGTTTTTGTTTCTAAGAGTTTTATTTTTGCTCCGTTCTCCCATTTTTCCTGTTTTATGAGGCTGAGTCCTCTAGATGTCCTCAGACGCTTTCTGTTGTAACAGGCCACTCTGAATAAAATTACCTTAGAAGAAATGAGCTGGGAAGTTTTTTCTTAAATATATTCAATTAGTAGATGATTTGTACAATGAAGGAAATCAAAAAATTAATTTTTGAATTAAAAGATCTAAATCATGTGTGCTTTTATGGAAAGCACTTGTACTAAACTTTGGTACAACATGAACCCTCTCAGGTTGATAGATGAGAAATTAAAGGCTGGGGGGGGGGGGGGATCAGACCCACCGGGTCACATGACAAGGACCAATGAGGTGAAGTGTTACTCAAGCATGAACTGCTCAGCTTCCTCTTAGTTTGTCTCTGCTCCCTCCTTCCTCTCTGCTGAATAATTTCAACCTGCGTTTAGGGTGTGTGTGTGTGTGTGCGTGCGTGCGTGCGTGCGTGCGTGCGTGTGTGTGTGTGTGTGTGTGTGTGTGTGTGTGTGTGTGTGTGTGTGTGTGTGTGTGTGTGTGTGTGTGTGTGAGAGGTTGGGTGGAGGCAGATTCCAGGAAAAGGCTTGGACATCATTTGGTGAACGCAGCAGATGGAGTATCACCTCATCCACAGCTGCTTCTCTGTAAGTTTGAATGAATTATTTCTACATGCATACACATAGAAAGTATTTATTGACATTCCCAGATGACAGAACAACACAGTGTACCTCCAGTCAAGATGTCAATAATAAATAAAAAAAACAGAAGACTGAACAGTACAAATAGGGTAAAAATAGAATAAAACATGATTAAAATAGCAGCAGTGGGTGAAAACAATATTTTACCGACTATTATTCTAGTAGCTTTTACACACGTGCGTACGCACACAAACACACACAAGTGATTCTCAATCAACTACAGGTCCATTTATTTCAGCATTTTAACTTAGACCGAGAGACCATTTAAAGGTTCCGAAAATCTTAGCAGATGTTTGGATTGATTAGCCAATTAGAGTGTGACACTTTGAGCCTTGAACTTTGAACCTGTTCACAGTATTCTAATTGTCTGAGATAGTGAATTATAGTTTTTCACAATCTGTAAGCCATATTCATCACAATTATAACAAATAAAGGTATGAAATGTCTGACTTGGCATGTAATGAATCTATCTCATTTTTTAGTTTCACTTTTTAAATTGAATTACTGAAATAAATGATCTTATGCTGGATATTCTAACTTTTTTTAGTTTCAAAAAAAGGTATATATTATATATAAAAAAAATTCCCATCTCACCCTCCGTAGGTGGTCTCATCCTTCCAAGCCCGGGTCCTCTACCGGAGGCCTGGGAGCTTGAGGGTTCTGTGTAGATAGCTGTTCCTAGAACGGCACTTTCCTGTGATATATATATATATATATATATATATATATATATATATATATATATATATATACATACATATGTGTGTATATATATATTTTTTATGTATGTAAATACAGTTATGATGTTGACTTCAAACATTACAAGAATGACACAAATACCTGTTGATTCCAGTAAAACCGAAATCTCTTAGCTGAGGCTGTAAATTCTGTAATAAGCACCTGCATGTGTCAGTTATGTCTGAACAAAGCTTATGATCAGGTAGAAGCAATTTCTAACATATGAGCCCTGGAGGGGAGTTGAAATCTGTATAAACCAGTTCCTTTTAACTCTTTATAGAGCACTCATTGAAGTAGTTAATGTTTTTTTCAACCTCAGAGTGCTAATGTGGTATATAACCAAAATCTATTTCTGTTTTATAATTTTTCTAAAATATTTATTTTCATTTAGAAAATCAGATAAAATGAGGTGATCACATATGGACGTTGGCCCTGTTCTGTTAAAAGAAATCCCCAAATAAAACACATGAAGTTAAATAAACATTATTTTTTAACAATATAGATTATTTATAATAATCTAGCTAATTTTAGAACATCATATCACTGTTCAAAATTACAGACTTTATCACAATTCTTTTTTAAAGAGTGTATTTTTATAAAAACAGATTACTGTAGAATATTATCAAGAAGTTATTGAACAATAGATACTATTTCTGATCAAATATAGATTATTAGAGTATTTTAGAATATTTTATATTTGAGGATCTGCCTCAATGTCATCTTCCTCCGGTTCATCGTCATCACTGATTGGTTGACGCAATAACTGTCCTTCTCCATTTTCAATGGATATCTTAGTTTAAAATTGCAAACTATATCCAATAACATAATTATTATTACTGTTACCATGAATATTTAGATTATGTCTAAAAAGCAACAGATTTTATCTAAAAATATTGATAATTTCTCTTACTTGCTCTGGGCATATGATCAAATATGGCAGATTTTGTTTTCATGCTAAGATTTCACCACCTTCATTGAGTTTAACATTTACAACACATATATCCTTATTTAGCACAACTAGTCAACCTTGTGATGTGAGAGTTTGATAAACCTAGCATTGTTAGCTTTAGAGATCTGAGATCGAGCATGCAGTTTTCTGGCTGTGCAGACACACCAATATTTGGTGCGTTATTGCCCCTCACTGACTGGTGGAATGGTGCCATGGCGTAAACCTTGACTAGCTTGATATCTGATGATTGTTTGGGTGAAATCTTGTAATTCTAAGACTTTGTGAAAAGGCACATCATCATCATTTATGATCTCTCTCTATATATATATTTATATATACATATATGGAGAGAGAGAGAGAGAGAGAGAGAGAGAGAGAGAGAGAGAGAGAGAGAGAGAGAGAGAGAGAGAGAGAAGTGAAAAGGTGTGAGTTGGCAATAGCCTAGTGAACTAGACCAAATTCTTGCTTTGCAAAGTTTGGTCTAGGCATGCTCCACTGGAACCACTGCAGCCCCAACAGCAATCTAGCTGGCCAATCACAGCTCTCTAGAGGGGTTTCAAACACATAAAGAGCTGTGATTGGTCCATAATGGTGGGCCAATCATAGTGCTCTATCTGCTTAGTGAACAAATCACAGAGCTTTATCCGCTTTGTGGGCCAATCAGGGCACTCTATATGCCTGGTGGGTGGGATGATGCAACAGAGTGAAACAAGAGTATGTCACATTCATTGTCCAGTAGCATGCGGAGATCATTTGAAAGACAACGGTAGAACCCGCCCCACAATCGAGAGCCGTCAATGGAGCGTGGCCAGACTAAATAATACATTTATTAGTCTGGCTTGTCAGGCTAAGTTGGTAACACTTTACGATGAGGGTTAGGGTTTACTTACACAACAGTCAGAAAAGGACAAGAACACCCAAAAGATATCAGCAGGACATAAGTGTGGAGTCATTTATGAAATCCCATGCAAACTCTGCATCTGTCTAGGAGCAGGTAATGATCCACTCAATCAAGCGCTTTAGTCAGATCTAAGCAAATAGCATCTTTGGTCAGGCTATTATCAAAACCAGAGTATTTATCATGCAAAAAAGCAGTATTTGTAGATCAATGTTTTAAAAATCACGATTAGTAAAGAAATAAGTTGTTTTTGTCAAGATAACTAGAAAGTTGATTAAACACTAACATTTCAAATATTTTAATGGCAATGTTAATTATTGCAGCCAGTCTGTAGTTTCTTGGTTCAAATAAATCACCCTCCTTAAAGAAAGGATAAATCTTGGTTCATTTCCACTCCGTTGGGACTGAACAAGCATCAAATGGCAAATTAGAAAGGATTGAGGGAGGATATGAAAGGACATCAGAAGCTAATTTAATAAACCTACTCTCCATGCCATCTGGACCAGGGACATTAGAAGGTTTTATTATCTGTAAGACATTGTTAGGAAGGATTTTTTTAAGAGAATATATACATGGAGACATTTTGAGTCTAAATGAAAGTACACATGGGAGATATTGAGGGAGTATTTGTGAAATTTTGACTAAATGCTTCAGCTATTTCAGCAAGGTTTTTCGTAAGAGTATTATCAACTCTCATGTTACTCAATGTAAAATCGGTTTTCACATGCTAATTATTACTTGTGCTCTCTTTATTTTGATTATTAAAATCATTATTCAAGATATTCATGTAAAAACCTGCTTTGGCATTCCTGGTTTGAGTAGTTCACTGATTTCTCAGTTTCTTATATTCGGACCAATCAACATGACTATTAGTTCATTTACATAACTCTTTGTCAAGCCGTTTAAAAAGGGCGATAATTTGACTACTAATCCATGGTAGGTGATTGCCCTTATCTTTAGCATAATAAAATGCATAACAAAAATCATTCATTAGAAATATGCCACAAAGATTGCATGAGGCAAACGAGCACTGTCAACTTTACTTTACTGCAACAACATCTGACCACATCTGGTTAGGATGCCTCCATGGTGAGGCTTTCCAGGCACGTCCAATGGGAGGAGACTCAAGGGAAGACCCAGGACACACTGAAACGATCGGCTGGCCAGGGAACCCCTGCCCCCACGACCTGACTCCGGATAAGTGGCTGGAAATGGATGGATGGATGGATGGATGGATATTTGCTGGGTGGGGGTCTATGATAAGGTTTCTTCAAGTGAAAAGAAAAAGACTTGAGGTTGTTCTATGTGTTTCATTCGTTTTTTTGTTCTGAGTGAGCTGCTGGACATAGTTTCTGTTCTAGACAAAGATTATTTGTCATAAAAAACACTCATTGCTGCTTGTTCATGGGGTGTAAAAGAATCCTGCCTTCAAAGTGTAATGTCTGTAATGCAACAGAATAATTCAGTTGGTAAAGCCCGCCTTATTTGCTTTTACCTTTTCACAAAACAAAGCCATGCATATATATATATATATATATATATATATATATATATATATATAATACGAAGTAAAATATTCATGTTTAGAAATGTATAAATTAGTACTATTGAAAAGGAATATTATTCAACTTTATATACAAATGTAGCGGTCACACTTTATGGTGTGATGACTGCAACTTAATTATGACCAATAAGATGTGATTATTCCACATAAATATGACATATCAACCTGACTGATCTTTGAAGTTTAATCAGAAGATTATAATTACTTTTACTTGTTCAGGGACCATAAACACACTTCGTATTAATTCAGACAGAGTCAGGTACATAGCTAAAAAGGAATTTTATTCTTTTCTAAACTAATGAATTATACATGACAAGATATGAATAATGACGGAGTGGATATGTGGTGATGGAATGTGATGTGTAGGTGGTGTGATGTAAGTTAGATGTTTATCAGAATCTTTGAATCTATAAGACATTTAACCATACCACTTTATTTGTAGAGCGCTTTTAACACGGTGTTACAACCGACCAAAGCGCTGCACATAAAAACAATAAATAAAAGCACAAGCTAAAACAGTCATGTATATCATATGAAGTAGAAAAGATAAGAGTTAAAAGAACAACAAACTAAAACCAATGGGAAAAGTTAATACAAAATATAAAAACAAATTTTAAATAAAACAAACAAGGTGGGAAACTAAGGATGAGTTCATGCTTTATGGTTTGGGAGTTGAAGGCCAGGGAGAAGTAGTGGGTTTTCAGGCATGATTTAAAAAGGGCATTAGAGGGTGCTTGCCTAACCCGAAGAGGTAATGAGTTCCACAATTTTAGGGAACAGACAGAAAAAGCCCTTTCCCCGTGGGTCTTCAAACGTGCCTTAGGGACAGGTGGGAGGAGCTGATCTTCAGACCTAAGAGCACGAGGAGGGTGATTGTGAAATCTGGGTGTAAATTAATTTGTTGTCTGCTATAAACTAGAGAGTTGATTGTTAATAAACAGCATCAGACGCAATCTGTTGTGTCTGCAAACCCTGGCGGAGACCCCCAGCAGTTCCGGACTGTCAGAAGTCGGGTGGACCTCACGGCACTGGGATTTCGTAGATTAACTCCGATTCGACCCGTCCAGTCTTGAGATGTCTCCAGGTCACAACAGTAGCTGGAACGCTTGTTTGCATCCAAAGTGGATGTGGCTCTTAGGGAGCCGTCTGGCTGTGTCAGCTTGCAGCGTGCAAACAGGTTTTTGACTGTATGTCAAAAGAGATGTCTCAAGGATGCTCATTCTGAACTGGTCGGTTCGGAACTCCGCTAGAAACTGAATTACTTGGGAACTAATTCTTGTTTTATTAAACTACTTTTTTATGATTTCTGCCGTATTCTGGCAAATCAGAATGTGCCATGTCTGGAAGGCTTTACCAAAACATTCCCCAGAAAGCCACGCCTTCCTTCAGATACAAGATGCTTAACACTGTGAATAAGAATCTAAACTTTATGTGAGGTGAACCTTAACCTTAATTTGTAACTTATGAAGATGTGTATGTGTCACGTTACGAGGATGTTTAGGACCCAAATATGCAGATACCCAGGAGGACACGAGGCAGGAGTAGAAATAAAGAAAAAATCCTTTTATTTGAGGATGAACAAAAATAAATCCAAAGGCAGCGAGCCTAAAGTCCAAAACAGGAGAAACAAAGCTCACCAAGAGCACGAACAAACACTGACAAAATATAAACAATGGACCAACAAGACACTGAAATAGGACAGGGCTTAAATACACAGGGAGGATGAGAGGGAGATGAGCTGCAGGTGTGTGGGGTGTGGGAGGAGGACCAGGTGAAGGCAATGACTAATCAGGGGAGAAACTAACTTGACCTAAGAATAAAACCTAATACAAAGAGCAGGAAACATAACTACAATTCAAAGGGAGGTGGGAGAAAAATAATAAACACTGATGGGAAAAAACACACTAAATGATGAAAGGCTGTAACCAAAGGAAATGACCTGAGAAACCTAGAGGGTTGGAGATCTAGGGGGAAAATGGGGAAAACCAGAAGATACATGAGGAAGACGCAGACATGACACATGAGGGCGCTAGGACACAGAAGGGAATCTAGAGAGGATGGAGAAACACCAGGAGGCACATGAAGGAAGGGGCAGACGCAGACCATGACAGTATGAGTGTAAACAATGATTAACTTGTTAAATCAAACACATACTGATCATAAGATCTGCAATGGATCTTTGTAAGAGCAACATTCATTTTAACTTCATTGATTTTAGCACAGATTATTCAAACATTTCATTTAAACATCTTGTTGTTTTATACAGGGAGACTAGGCTTTTGCGGTAGACCTTGGCAGTTTATTTATGTCTGCGTTGAAGAACAATAAGTGAGCAAAAGGTTGATTTGTGGGTCTGAATCCTCCAGCTGGTGTAACCTTGACTTTGCAGCTCTGGCGTGTATGAAAGGTTATGCTGTGTCAATTAGATGGTGAAAATTGACCCTATTGATTCATTACACAAACATATTCATATTTTTAGAATGTTGTTGTTCAAAGTCTATCTTTACCAGTTAATTTTAGTGCATGTTTCATTTAGAGGACTGAATGTGCTCAAAAGGTTTTGATAAACGTATACAGATATAATGTATCTACTCAACCAGAGCACACTGAAGGTCATGGTAAGAAGACACCAGCAGAACCACATTTTCTGCTAACCTAACCCGACCACCATCGCTAGTTCATGCAGTGAAGAAAACTGTTGGTAATCCAGAGTTTAACTGAGACATATTCAAAAGAAACATGATCTTTTTAAAATGCTGCATTAACATTGTGGTTTTGTTTGATGTCATTGAATTGTCCTTCTAATGAGATTTGTTTTTCTTTGATTTTATGTTTTGATTCAGGTTGGGATTTCATTTCTTCTCAGCCCGAATGGAAAGTTCAAACTACTTCAAAGCGACTATTCTCCTCATCATCATCACTAAATGTGTTTTAATGCTCTTTAATTTAAGACCAGCAAACATAAACAGGTTCATCCCAACACTACATGGGCCTCAACCTGTTTGCCCATCATTATTTACTGAGCAGACCATCACTCCGCTTAAAAACACCAAGCACTTACTGGTCTCCGCCTTTATGGACGAGAGAGTGAAGGGTTTTGATGTACGCATCATTGGCATGTTTCATAGAACCTCCATCCAACCACTCCATTGTCTTTACTGCTGTTCCAGCCATTTGGGTGGGATAACTCCTGCAAAAGTCTTACAACATGCAGACCACTTTGGTTTCCCCTTTGGTGCTACAGACGTCATGTGTCAGATCCCTAAAAACTGTGAAGCGTCACATGTCACCCTTCTGACTCAGGCCAGTACAGAGGATGTATCCGACCTCAGCTGGATTCCTATAAAAAACATGAAAACCAGTGGAAAAGAAGAGAAAATGCTTAACTTCACTGTCTGCATTTCCAACCTGTTTGGAGACTACAGCAACGTGCTTCAGTTCGCACAGACTCTGGAGATGTACAGGTGGGTCAAGTTATGCATTAAAATTGTAGAATAGCTTCTTGTGCCTAGATATGATCCTCATTTCAGTCCTCCTGGATTGCATATTATTGTGGTGTTTCTGTAACTTGGTAACTGATAACATTTTGTTTAGTATTCAAAGGCACAACTTAAATATCACTAATAGTTGTTTCACATGTATGAAATTGTTCATTTTTGCTTCTTTGTTATAAATAAGTTGAGACTACGCTGAATTAAATAGAACAAAAACACACTTTTTGTGCTGATCTTGCTTATTTTGCTTTTCCACAGTAACTCAGTCTCCATTTAGTCCTGTCTTCTATGTTTATGTTTATGTTTATTTATTTAGCAGACGCTTTTATCCAAAGCAATTTACAATTTATAACCTATAGGGCATGTTGTGATCTGTGGGGGAAACCGGAGTACCCGGAGGAAACCCACGCATGCATGGGGAGAACACGCAACTCCACGCAGAAAGGCCACAGCCGAGTTTCGAACCTGCGACCTTCGTGCTGCGAGGCACCAGTACTAACAACTGCGCCACCATGCAGCCCAGTCTTCTGCATTCTTTACCTTCACACCAACTAAATTCACGTCCTCTTTAACTGCATAAATTCCCTTTTTGGTCTTCCTCCCAGCCTCCTGTCTGGTTGCTCCAGCCTCAACATTCTTTCACCCTATCTAACCATTGTCTCACCTCTGGACATGTTTAAACCATTTCAGTCTGAATGTATCGGCATAACATCTAACATGAGCTGTCCCTCTGATGTTCTCATTCCTGTCCTAACCGTCCCCGTCACTTGCAAGGAGAACCTGAACATCTTAGGCATTGCAACCTCCAGTTCAGCCTGTTGTCTTTTCCTCTTGGACACTGTTTCTAAAGCATACAGTGAGGAACATAACTATTTGAACATCCTGTGATGTTCCAAGTTCTTCCAATCTATTTGTATTGCACTGTTGTGCATAAGTAGTTGAAAACCTGAGAAAATAACTGTTAATATTTGCCACAGAAGCATTTGAAATTACAGATTTCAAACATTTCCTGTAGCTCTTGACCAGGTTTGCACACACCACAAGGCCTTTGGCCCACTCCTCCACACAGATCTCTCGATCAGTCTGGTTTTGGGGCTGTTGCTGAGCAACATGGAGTTTCAGCTACACTCTTAAGGTATTGGCCAGACTCTGCATGAAAATTGTAGAAATTCAGTTTAACTACACTGGTTTCCATTTTTCATTTGAAGCTATTTTATCATAGATCATTATAGAAAATCAAAATTCTCTCCTCTGAACATTGAAGAACTGTGCTGCACATATGTCACTCAAAGACTTCTTACAGGGAAGCCGCTGCTATGTGTTTAGCTGTATTCTGTTCAACTTTTTGCTCCCAGTGATTTAGGAAAATTGTGTTTACAGCTGCAGCAAAAACGTCTGAGCCGTATGTTGGAGTCCTACATGCATTTTTAACTAATGTGGTGACATTAAAGTCATAAAACTGTGAGAAACGTAGCGAGCTGAAGCCCAATAGCCTCCTGCAGAGACCATTAGCACACCCGATGCACCGACTACATGGGCTGGTCAGGGCTATTTGCATAGAGGTTTAATCAATAAAAATGATCTACCTATTGCAACTAAAAATCCGTCTGGAACTGCTAACCTTTGTGCCTGTTTGGATTACTGCCAAAACTAGATGAGCTAATGAGCGGCTGCCCCACCCAGTCAGGAGAAGTTGTTCTGGAAAGCTATTGACTAATTTTTTTCCAAAATGATATCAATATATGTACACACGGGGATGGAACTGGCAGCACATTGTCTTATTTTTCTGTACATTATTGAGTTATATTGGCACAGCCTGTAATATTGTGAGGGAATACTTTTGATTTTATACACAAACATCTTCATATTTTTTAGAACGTTGTTGTTCAAAGTCTTTCTAGGCCAAAACTTGTTCATTTAGTTTCTGAGGAGGGAGTGAAAAGACTCAAATGAACAGAACATAGATACAAACAGCTCTAATCTTCAAAATCCCACACTGATTCCTGTGAATTAGATTTTATATAACTTCATACCACAGCTGATTTCACATGACATGGATTTATTTGCATATATACCAATATATTACTTTGAGACTTGACTACAGGTAAATTGTGCCACTGTTGCTGATAAACAATGCAGTGCAATATTGATGGTAGTGTAAAAGTTTATAGAGCAACAGCTAATTTATCAATCAAGACTAATGTGTGTTTTTGACCCAGGTTACTTGGAGTGAACAGAGTGGTGATCTATAACACCAGCTGTGGCCCAGACCTTGACCGTCTTCTGCAGAGTTACGCCCAGGAGGGGTTTATGGAAGTAGTTCCTTGGCCCATCGACAAGCACATGAATCCGTCTCGTGGCTGGCATTTCCCAGAACATGGAGGTGATATCCACTACTTTGGCCAGCTAACCACACTGAACGAGTGCATTTACAGATCCATGGAGCGTTCACGCTACGTCCTGTTGAATGACATTGATGAGATTGTCATGCCATATAAACACGACAACCTGATGTCCCTCATGGATGCGCTGCAACCACAGCATCCCGATGTAGGTGGTTGTCATTGTACAAATGAAACCATTTTTTTCACATACATTTTATGCCAGGGTCAGCTCTGGCTCAGTGGGAGAAGTGGTCCAATAGTTGGTTTGATCCTGTTTTCCTCACCACATGTTTGTGTCTTTGGGTAAAACCCTGAATCCTATGTCTGTTCTGTAGGTTGGTGTTTTCCTAATTGAAAACCACATCTTTCCCAAGAAGCACTTTGACCCTAGTGGGAAATTTCACCTGCCTCAGTGGGTCGGGGTGCCGGGAATTAATATTCTGGAGCACATTTACAGAGAAGACCCTGCCCGGAACATATACCATCCATACAAGATGATAGTTCAACCAAGGTAACCCAAGAAACACATTCCAATCAACTATTGATTGACTAATATGTTGCATCATATTTAAACAACTCACTACTTCACCTAATTGCCGAGATCAACTTTTCATACAGTAATTTTGAGTATTTTAAAGCTGCAGCAAGTAAAGATACAAAAGTACCATATTGTGTTTTGGTAGTTGGAACTAAGGTTAGGTTTACACTGCAGGCTAAAGCTCATCAGTTTTGTTTCCCTCTCAGTGGGTAAAGATTGAACATTATAATTTTTTATTTGTTAGAATTCAATAACTTTTTTTTAAGTTCACTAACACATTTACCAATGCAGATTTCTATCAAATTTACAGGCTGGTGGAGCAAACCTCTGTCCATGAAGTGCTCAAATATTTTGGAAAAAACTACAAAGTCCCGTTAGATGTCTGCCGTCTCATTCATGTTCGTGTGGCTCTGCGTGGATCATTGACTATGGAACAACTCAATGTAGACAAACGTCTGTGGGACTTCCAGAAGAACCTGATTTCTAATGTGGACAAGGTTCTGGGCAAGTTGGAGTTTCTAGTGACATAGAATTAAAGCTGATGGACAAAAACTGGAGATGTTCTAAAGAGGTGGACGCTATTGTACGCTGAAGGAGGAGCCTTTTAAGACTTATTCAACTGTTGCTACAGCAATTTCCACACCACTCTGAAAATGGGGATTTCTTATGAAAAGAAAATGTTTGAAAATGTGCTACAGATTTTTATAAATAAACTGAAAAAATGTCTAATTACACATAGTGTTTAAATCAAACAATTTTCATAAAATTACAAGAAGTCCTGATAAATAATTATGCATTTGTTTGCATTATGCATTATGTGTTTGGTTCTCAATGAAAGGTCATAAATGGTTGTTCTCATGTCATTTTGTGTGATTTTTATTATTGTATCATATTGTGCTCTTGTGCGTGTTTTGGACACTTGGGTGACGAGAGGGTCAGAGCGGTCAACTGACCACCACCTGGAAGAGTTGGCTTTGATGGTGGGGAGGATGTCAGACCCGGCAGACCTAAACGTATTGTGAAGGTCTGCTGGGTAGGGCTGGGGGTAAACGATTATTTTTAAAACGATTATTCTGACGATTATTTTATCGAATAGTCGACTATTCTAATGACTATTTAGAAAATTAATCTAATGATTATTTTTCTATTGCACAATTAACAAAAACCAGAAAATCTCAAATAAATTCCTCAAAAAAATTGATAAATTCTTACTGTAAGAGAATAAACACTACAGGCCTTCCATTTTTTATAACACTGCGTTTATTGTGTTGCAGTTGGTTAGGTTCTGGTGACGTGTAGAACTTGGGAGTGCAGGCTGCTGCCTGAGAGGTGGTAGAAGATGGAGTGTCTCCATGCTGCTTTGTTTTGGTCACTTATGTGCGTGAGGCGAGTGGTCTTACGGGTTAAACCAAACTCAGGTGATATTTTACACTAAACCGAAAACCCACAACACTCTAAATGTAATAAAAGGGAGATCTACACCACAAAAAAAGATTAACTCTAAACCAAAACGTAACAGCTTATCCCAACGCAAGAAGCTGTTAGCGAAGATGCTAACAGTAGCTTTACCAACATTAAGTTCAAGTTACCAAGTTTAAATAAAACAAAAACACCCAGCAGCAAACAGACCAGCATGGAGGAGAGTCTGCTACCACCAAAACAGCTCTCCTCATGTCTGAAAGAAGCTCCTTAATGAAGGGAGAAACGCTCCCGGTGATTTTCTACATCTGCGATAGACACGAAGCAGCGCATCTGACCCCGGAAGTTGTTGTCCGTTGCCGGGAGACGAAGGGGCAAAACAGGAAAATAATCTAGTAGTGGACGGACGTTGTTCCGGGTCTTCGGTATTTGGCGGAGATGTTAGTGAAGGGGGAGAAGAGGGCGAACTAGAGGAAAAACAGGCAGATTCCTCCTCTATTTACAAACTCCTGGGGATGCAACAAGTGGGCGCGGTGCGTCGACTTCCGGATCTGACGTCGACAAATTTTTAGAATCGAGCCGTCGACTTCGTCGAGGCTTCGCTACAGCCCTACTGCTGGGAACATCTGGCAGAGTCTCCTGTCAGAAGGAGCTTCAGTTCCAGCCTCTGACAGAACTTTGAAGGTGTTCTGGGTGGAGGCGGGGGACATTGAGACCAAGTGGGCTGTGTTCAGTGTCTCCTTTGTTGAGGCGGCCGACCGGAGCTGCAGCTGTAGGGTTGTTGATGCCGTTTGTGGCAGAAGCTCCCAAACCATCTAGTGGACACCAGTGGTTAGCGATACTGTCAAGCTGAAGAATTGGTCCAATTGGGTGTTTTTGGTCTGTGGGACTCCAGAGGTAATCATCCAATCAATCAATCAATCAAAGCTTCATTTATAAAGTGCCTTCCGCTACCCCGTCAGGCAGCCCAAGGCGTTAGACACAGTACATGAGAAATGCAAATCACAATGAATAAGTAGATAATAAAAACAAGTACAATAGTGCAAAGAAGATTAAAACATGTAAGTAGAAACAAGTAGATAAAACAAGGGATAAAGTGACCAATAAAAACAGGGAATGAAATCAACATAAAGGAGGGCCAACCTCAAACATGTTCAGGGAACACCAAGCGGAAGAAGTGGGTTTTAAGACGACTCTTAAAAACCAGAGATGGGAGCAGCCTAACTGAGGGTGGCAACTGGTTCCAGAGTGACGGAGGCAGCTGATAGGTAACAGCAGTCCAAGCAGAGGTGGTCGAAGAGGCAAAAACCCCTATTTAAAAAGGGGGACCACAGGATGTGTTACAACTACAGTGGATCACACTTCTGAGCCTCCCTGGTAAAGTCTGTTCAGGGGTTCTGGAGAGTTAAAGTTAGTTAAAGAGCAGGTCAAGTGTGCCTCAGAGTCCTTCTCCACCCACGTATCAATTTTAAAAACTGCAACATTAGTAGGCGTTGCCTGGCGGACCGAGAGAGCGGAGCTGCGGCAGTGACGAAGACGATGGGTAACGAGACGATGCTAGCTCCCTTCACTCTGAGCAGTCATTAGGAGTGGAGGACGTTTCTCCCCACCTTACCCAGACACTCGAGAAGAAAGGGACCAAGTCTATTTGGAGGAGACAAGCGGTACGAGACGATGCTAACTCCCTTCACTCCGAGCAGTCATTAGGAGTGGAAAACGTTTCTCCCCACCTTACCCAGACACTCGAGAAGAAAGGGACCAAGTCTATTTGGAGGAGGCAAGCAGACCTGAGCCTTATTGTTTTGAGCTTGTGAGTTGCCTGAAACTACCGGAACCGACCTAACAGAGCCAGCTCTGAATGGTAAGTAGCTGTTAGCCATAGGATTAGATTAGCTGCAGGGTTTGGCTCCATTGCCCTAGAGAGCTAGTATTCAGCATGTTTTAGAGATTTATCTGTTTCAACACACCTGGTTTTAATCAGCAACAAATAGCTAAGCTGCTGAACAGCTAATCTAACCTATTAAAGCAGGAAAACCACTGAAACGTGCTGGATAGAGGAGGAGAGGTCAGGTGCTTCCTGTCAAACTCAGACCCAGGTGCCGTGCGCCACCCTTCCCGCCTGGGGATGATGGAGTGTAGCGCCTCAGTCTGTTTCCGCTGGGCCTCAAACTTCATCTGAATAGCGTTGAGGGTGTAGCATGGTGAAAATGTGACCTTTGTTCACAAATTAAGAGGCCATTCATGACGCTACAAGGGACTATCCAAACAGACCACTGGGTGAATCAGGCTCGTCCAGGTAGTTAGCCCTCAGTCTGGCCCTGTCGGGGACATTAGAAAGGGTGAGCCACAGGTCTCTCTGAGCCACTACAGTTGAGGCCATACCTCTTCCCAACAGCAGGGCGACGCTTCGGGCCGCTCGCAGGATGGAGTCCGACGTGACCCGTATCTCATTGATGAGGGGGGGTCAGTGGGCTGTCGGGTGGGACCCTTGCTCCAAGGTCTGCCAGGCAAAGTGCTTGGTAAGTCTGAAGCATGATGGAAGAGCTGAGAACGCCGGCAATGGAGGCCTGTGCGTGGTAAATCTTCTCCAGTTGTGCAGCTGAGAAGCAGCATGGTTTGGAGGGTAGATTAGCTTGTCCACTAACTCCGTTATTGCAGGTCAGAGCCAGGTAAGCCGCTACAGAGGGCTCCATCGGAGGGAGGTTAACCAATCCCGCCATTTCTGCGCCGTCGAGGTCCGAAAACTGACCGTAACCCGGGACCGTGGTACGGGTGGATAGCGGCTTGGCCCAGGATGCCGTGAGCTCAGCCACAACATTTGGGTACAGTTTCAGAAAGTTCTTTACCTCCGCTGGTTCCGAGGGGCGGTACAATCCAGAAACGCGGGACCTCTTTTGTGCAGGTGGAGGAGCGGGCCAGTCCGCTTCTAGCTTCCCCGCTGCACGCCGGCAGAGCGGGAGAAAAGAAGTGTCATTTCGAAGCTCGGAGGCTGAAGTAGCGGCTGGAGCTGAACACTCCACCGCTGAGAGGACCTCCTCGTCCTAGAGTAAGTCCTGACCATCGAGCAAATGTCCAAAATGTCTCCTTCATCCTCTGCCAGAGGAGGAAACTGAGAAGCCTCTAGGTCTGGTCTGGTTAAATTATCCGCCACCCCCATCTGATCTGCCCAGCTAGTAGCGGGGACTTCGATCACTAGGCTGTCCATGTCAGAGCCGGGCGAAGCCGGGGCCGAACGGGAAAGCATGGGGTCCTGCTGCAAAATTGCAGCGTCTCCCAGGAGACGTTGCAGGAGCTTCATGCGACGTTCGAGCGTGGGACGGCGAAGTCGGCGACAGAACTCGCTGAATGTTATTAAAACAAGTGATTTGTTGGCATATCATGTCCAAAAATACACACTGGTACTGTTATCAGTTAATCTTTCAACAGACAAGTAATGCATTTTTCCAACAAAAAACATTTGATTATAATAATGTATGTACACAATAAATAAAGGTTCAATATTCCCTTACTTATACATTTGAGCCATTTCTCAAAATTCCAACACAGCAATGGATGGATGGAAGTATGAATGAAGGGTGCAAAATGGGCGGGGCAAAGGTCCACACTTGAGAATCTGGACACCATGAGCTAGTGCCACAGGAAAGGAATGTGCAATTGATGGGCACAAGTGTGGAGTGCGAGTATTTGGACTGGGCCAAAATCTCCATACTTATTGAAAAAAATCTCTATTTTCAGATAAACATCAGCCGTCTGCAGTCCCACCTCATGTGGTTCAGTGTTCAGAGGGGCTCTTCCCTACTCATTCGATTCAAGCCCAAACCAAGTGAGCCCAACAGGTTGAGTTGGATTTGGTTCAGTTAAATACATTAAATGTGTGGACTGAGTTGCTCTCGGACGTGAAGAATAGGCACACTGCGTTTCATCCAACTGACTACCGGTGCTCAACAGCTACAGCACCAGCAACTTCTTCCACTTCATATTTGCTCTCTGAAAGGTTGTGACCAGGGTCATAAGAGGCTGTTATTTTCTGTCATGTGACATGTAAATTTCAGTGTGCAGGTGCACGCTTGTGAATGGTGGAGACCAACATTTGAGCAATTGATTTATGCATTTGGGAGAAGCTAACTAATTAAGACCAGCAGCTGACAGTTCCTACCTTTTGCCCATTCCAACCAGCCACCAACTCATTTGTGTATTTGTTGGTGTAAAATTAATGCGTTAAATTGAGCATTCGTAATGGGGTATTGCCTTTAATTTAATGGTTATTTTAGGCATTAGCTTCCCCCTGAGTTATATCCTGATTCGCCCTTAGTTGAACCATAAAAAACCTATAACGTGTACATATTCTTAATGAATAATTGCATATAGCTATCCACATGTGGTTGTTTGGGATCTGTTGAACATGGACCATCTTTTATGTCATGTGCTGGCCTCTCCTGGC